CAAGACTAGAAAAATAACCAAGGTACTTAAACAGAACTTCAGTAAAGAAATGGAAGAGAAATGGAAGCCTACAGCTTGTGGTTATCAAGGAGAAAGCTTAACCACAGGCCCAATTTCGAAGACATGTTAAGCCAAACCTTGGTTTAGCTCAGTTTGGCACAAGAGTACCAAAGACCAGGGAGGTGAAAAATGACTATGAGCTCCTGTCGGAGAGCCATATGCTTATGCAAACAAGGCTACTGTTTGATGTGCAAACAAGGGCACTGTGCTATTGGGTTTCTCATCCAAGGAAGGGTTGACCACTGATCTAAAGAGAAGTTGCAATGGAGTGTCTCACCCTCTGGGATTGCTCATGCCTTTGCATTTAGAAAGCCTTGCTGAGCTTTTCTGCATTCCAGCTCCTAGTGGATGACATATTCCCATTTCCCTAAGCACAGAAATCGGGGTCCAATGAAACCCATGTAGGACGTTTCTACCTGCACGAACATTCATTTCCATTAGTACTCCCTGCACCAGATGGATTGCTGATCCAAAAAGTCTTTCAATTTGGGGGGCAGCTTTTCAGGGTGTGGGAGAAATACTATTAGGATGCTTTACAGCCTCTCAGTCACATGATGTCCCTTGGATCCCAGCTAACCTTTTATGCATGCCTCTTCCTCTTAGCTTTCCGAAAGCGCCAGCATTGGTTAATCAGCTGAGAAGCCATGGGCATGCTGCCAGATATACAATCTTGGAACATGATACAAACAGATTTGTCCACTTGGGATGTAAATGCAATTAATGTGAAAATTGTTTTAGTGATTTGTAAGCCAAATCCTGTATGAGATTATCTGATTTTATAGTGATAAACACAGGGCTTGAAAGTTAGTGAGGGGAGAAGCTGGGCCATTATTATTAGCTTGTGAATTGTGTGGGTTCAGGACATGATTGCATTTTGAACGGTTTTGCCGTTCAGTACTTTGGGGGTCTTTGTACAGCTGTACAAGGCATAGAAGCTGAAATGCAAATGCCTTCCTGTTAGAAATGCTGCTTTGTATCTCAATAATTCTTTAATCTTACTGAAGCCTCCCATCTTCCCTTTGCTGTGATCGTAAATTATGACAACCGAGATAAGACTTCAGGTCTCCTAACCTTTTAAACATAGCTCTTTTTATCTGTGCGACTTTATTCTTCAGAATAGGTTCAGAAGGGTGGTGGGGAAGAAATGTTGTTAAGATGCTATAAACATTCTTGGCTGTTCATGGTTTCAAGAGGCAAAATGACCTGTAGTCAGATAGTATCTAAATGGACAGGAAATTGGATGAAAGGGTTCTGCAAACCCCTTTGTATTCTGTTTTATGAGCATATAATTAGTTCATCCCTGTACAGTTAGGGTATTGGAAGAGCTGCAGTCATGCTTTTTCACAGTCCATGGATTTCTCATCTGAAGTATTGTTATCTTAAAAGTTTATTTCACAGTTGCCGTTTAACGACACGAATCCAATTGCATTGCTGTACTCTTAAAGCGTCCTGAGATAGTCAAATAGCAGCCGCTGAGTCCCTGCTCATATCCCACAAGCCCTTCTGAGCGACACAATAAGGGCATACTGTCTCGTTGTCCTCGGGTTGAAAATGCTTGTGGGAATACCACAGAATTTGCCACATCAGAGAGGGAGTCAGTTTTCATGCTCTGAGTTGAAGATGGTATTACTTCAATAAGGACACTGTGCAGGCCAAGGCAAACATTAGTCATGTGATATAGGCCCTGCCATGACAGAATCGGGCCAAAAGCAATGACGTAATTAATGTACAATTTTCACGTTTGGATGTACAGACGGTGATCATTGTAGGAGCATCCAAGTGACAGACGATTGCTAATGCGCAGGTCCTTTTGGACCCGGAAAAGAGAAGAACAAGGGTGGGGCAGAATGGGCCAGGGCACACTCTGCCGATGGCTGGGACCAGAACCCCCATGCGAAATGGTAATCCCCTGTAATATGTAAAGGGGTTGGGCAAGTGGCGATAGAGTGGATTCACTTCCTTTTTGGACATAATAATTTCTGGTTCTTTTCTGAAAGCACTGCAATGCTCCTGTGCAACATTCAGTTCACCACGGGGGCATAAGAAGCTACCATTAAAGAGAGTCAAACCATGAGTCCATTTGGTTCAGCGCTGTCTACACTGGCTGACAACGGGACTCTCGGGATGTCAGATACGAGTCTTTCTCAGCTCTTACATGAAGAGACAAACTTGAACCTTGCATGTAAGCCATGTGTTCTGTCTCTGAGATGGGGGTCATTTACTGCAAACCTTCTGTGTGAGACAATTGGGGAGGGGGGCATGCCTCAAAACGCACATCAGTATTAACAAACAATAAATTGAGAAGAAAGGGAAGTGAGGCCCTGGGGATTCTGCAAAAGGTGCTACAGACAATTAGTAATCCTCATGAATGGGTTGACTTACCCAGTGGGCAGAGTCACTCAGAGAAGAGTTAGACTGCATTCAGACAGCACTTTATTCAATTTTCTCAGCATTTTCTTACCTGAAATTTTCTATGTTTTGTGTGATCATTCACACGATGTAGAAGGCATCTGATATGGGAGACGCATATATTGTTTTTGTAGTTGGGGTCTGTTCCAGGATAGGAGGCCAATGCAGGCTGGGCAGATCCTTCACCACAATGTTCACCAAAGCTAGGTAAGCACACCTTTGCCAGGTAACAACTGTGTTTCGGGAAGGACAGGATTTCTGCCTGGCACCTCTCCAAGGTAATCTGACCAGTACCACCCTGTTGTTGTCTAGGTGACAGACAAAACAATAGACACAACTATGACAGCTTTGCTGACTGCCAAAATTCAGCTCTGCCCTTTTAAAATGGAAACCAGAAATGTCAAGCTGTCTGAAACTGTGGCCAGAATAGGCCAGGTGCAAGGTGAAGGCATGCAGAAATGTGAAAATAACACAAAGATAATTTCTACAGCCTAGATAAAGCAGGTAAAACATTCCTTAGGTCATTGGAACCCACTTAAAAAATAAATGTGCATCTTTAATAATGAGAGGTCCATCAGTCTTTGGCTATTCATCAAACGTGTCTTCTGAAGAATTTTTGTTGCACAAGCTAGACAAATGGTATTATTTTGACCGAGGAGATCCCTTTCAAATGTAAGCTTAGCCTTTTGGCTCAGCTATTCTCACAAAGGCCTAGGCTGAATGGTAAAAGAGCCCACAAACATTTGAAACTATCCTGTAAATTTCTTAACATAAGATGTGCAAGCATTTCATAGCTAAAGCTGAAAGACAATTCTTTTCAAACGCTCTTTGGGCCAGTTTTAAGTGAGCACTGTACATGCACAATCTTACCGTTCCTGTCTTCAGGTTATCAAACATGGTCAAAACCACTGAGAATAATGAACTTGGATGTAGAGGCATCAACATCAACTTGAAAGCATCGGGGGTGGGGGGGACTTGCATTCTTTCCATGTGGTGAGGATGAAGTTGGCAGAGGTCTTAGTTTCATTTGATGGAGGTGTCCACAAGGTAAAAAGGCAAAGGACCCCTGGATGGCTAAGTCCAGTCAAAGACAACTATGGGCTGTGGCTCTCATCTCGCTTCAGGCCAAGAGAGCTGGCGTTTGTCCACAGACAGCTTTCCAGGTTGTGTGGCCAGCATCACTAAACCACCTCTGGTGCAATGGAACACTATGATGAGTGCCAGAGTGCACGGAAACGCCATTTCCACAAACACTGTACAGGATGCCTGTGGGTGTAACACAAGCCTTCTGTTAGCAGACTTGCACCATTGGATACAAAGCAGTGCTATCCATGATGGGATTTGACTAGCCTACACAGTGAAGATTTTTTGGGATATGTTGGATAAATATGCAACAATATCCGCCCAAAGGAGCAAGTATGCATTTTGGGAGTGCTTCCAGCTCCGTCACTGGAAGCCCAGGCAGGTTGAGTGGCCACAGGTACATTTTTCCAGCTGTGACTGCTACAACCATTCCTGGACTGGGAAAGCTTTACCGCAATAGTCCAGGCATCGGTGACTTCAGGGTTGGATTACAGCAATACACTTCATGTTGGGCTGCTATTGTGCTTGATCTGGAAACTTCAGTTAGTGCCGAATATTCCAACATGTTTGGTGACAGGAGTGAGACTCTGTCAGTATGTAGCACCTCTGCTCAGAGATCTGAACCGGTTGAACTATTTCCTACTGGGGCAAGTTCATGGTGTTTCTATTAGTATATAGAGCCCTGAACAGCTTGGGGCCAGTTTACTTGCAGTCAACCATTTTGCAGAATGGGCGCTGTTAAGAGATACCACATAATACTCATTATGTACTTGTAAGAAATCAATCTTTAGTGTGGCATCACCTACCCCTCAAAACTCCCTCTATTGATGTTGGGCAGGTGCCTGCACCATTCTCTTTTTGGTGCCTGCTTAAAACGGGGCAAGCCTGCTGAGACATGTAGAATTTACATGTGATTTATTCCTTTTTAGCTGCTGTTGATTTTAATCATCTTTTGAATATTTTTAAATTCTTGCTTTTAATTGTTTTAGTATTGATAATTTTGATGTATAATTTTATACTTTTGTAAACCACTGAGCGGTTTTCTTAAAATCAAGTGTACATAAATTCTATTAAATTAATTACATTATAATATAATATAATATAATATAATATAATATAATATAATATAATTAATATAATATAATAATATTCCTGGAGTATCTTGATGTATGTAGAGTGCAATGCCTTGTCCTTCAATTTGTGTGTGTGTGTGTGTGTGAGAGAGAGAGAGAGAGAGAGAGAGAGAGAGAGAGGAGGGAGAAGAGAGACTGTGTATTTGCATGAAAAATTTGTTTAATAACCTAACAAAATGTTAATCTCTAACATTATCAGGCTGTGTTTGGAAATCTTCCAGTTGTTCCCTTGGTTGTTAGAATGCAACAATCCTGCTCTAAACATTTCCCAACTAGAAAACACAGCAGCTAATCCTTTCTTATTTTCTTTTCCAGGCAGAATATGAAGTTACTCCGGATGAAAAACTAGGAGAGAAAGGCAAAGAAATTGTGATGAAATACCTCATCCCAGAGGTAAGGAAACACCTGAAAAGGTAGTGCTAAAAAATGCAGCAGGACAGCTGCAAGCAAGGTTCTTGTTCTATTGTCTAGCAGTTCCTGTCAAAATAACATGCAAAGAACAAGATCAAGGCCTAAATTCTCTAAATTCAGGAAAATTGCGGGGTAAACCCTTCTGGAATTGCATCGTCTCAAATGGAATCTCATGGCTGAACAAATACTGGTGTACCACACCAACATTTCTTGCAAAAACCAGCATGTACAGACCATCAAAAAGGAGTTGGGGAAATCAAACATAGTGGCAAGACTAATATTTATTGGAAGATCCCAATGAATTTCAAGCATATGACTTCACAGGAGTCATGGCTGTCAATGAATAAACCCTGTTTTCTAGGCATGTGGATTCTGGTAAGAGTAAAGAGGGCTTTACTCTTAGGGTTTTCCGTCATCTCCTCTGGTGGCGTTTTGACCTGCTGTCTCCATACTGTTGTTCCATGCAGCCAGCTTGTGTTCTGTACCACGCACATTGGAAGGTGTTAAACGTATCTTCTGTTTTCCGAGAACACAGTTAAAGATACCCTGCCTTTCGAAAAGCAAACACACAGCAAGAAACAGCCCCTGTAAATGCACCCTGAGAGCCTGACATTAAAACAAGTGGGAAGCCAGGTATTCAGACTTGTCTTTAAAGAACAGTAATTCCTGTTTTTGAACTACTGGCTTATGTCAAAAGTACATTCCCTTCACATGAAGAGTTATATTGAGCACTGTTGCCTCCTACTGGCGGTCAAGCCATCTTCATAGAATCATAGAATTGTTGAGTTGGAAGGGACCATGAGGGTCATCTAGTCCAGCCCCCTGCAATGCAGGAATCTTTTGCTCCAGGTGGGACTCAAGTCCATGACCCTAAGATTAAGAGTCTTGTGCACTACTGGCTGAGCTCGTCGTCATAGATTCTGACAGTTACTTTCCCTCAAGACTGAGGCAATTTCTTATTATTCTTGCGTGGGGAGATACTTGGCCAAAATCCTTTTATTTTCCCCACATTCAGCGGTTACTAACTTCCTTTCACTCTGGATTAGGGGTCATTAAACTTGAGTTGGCTCGAACAATTGGAGTTGTTTGTTGGAATATGACAGCATTTGTCAATCTTTGATGCTTGTATTGGACTGCATGTGCTGTGTGGTGTATCCACTAGATGGCAACCCTAGCGGGACACAGAAACTCATAGATCTGGTTAGGTTGCAGCTGGATGGAATAAACATCATTGGGTTTCTTGTACATTCAGCGCCTTCCCTCAGCCTCCCTGCGAGATTATCTGCCACTAAGCAGTAAGTGCTCTCAGCCTTGAGTATGTGAATTATCCTACTTTTCCAAAAAGAGTTACGGGGCCCCGGCATCATTGCTTAGATTCCTTCACTGCGGAAACACGTTTGACCCTGGGAACAACATGTTACGCTTTTTAAAAAGTGTCCCATTTAAAATTTAAGTGATACAACATGCTCTGGCAGGAGAAAAGGCAGATTTTTGCTTTGTTTTGTTTAGTCAACAGTTTTCCTACCATAAATTTTTCATTGGTTTACGTTTTCTCTCGGGGAGCTCTTTGGAACCTGTTTTTACTTACTTAGTCTGGTTAATATCAAGTACATGAGAATGCGATGCCACTGTTGCTGCTGCCCATTCAGAATCAGTTCTAAACCTGGTCAGGTTTTTGTCTTGCCTAGGTGGCATTCGACTCCACACCAGAAGCTTGTAAACTGATGAGGGCTAATAGTTGAAAGGGCCACTGTTTTGTAAGGAAAAATGAGGCTTTCCTTCCATTTTTTCAGATGCCATAGTTCACTCAGTTTGATTTCTCTTGAACTTTGGAAACAAGTGCTGCATGCTGAGTGATATCCTGGAGGTAATAAAAGCTGGTAAGCACCACTAAGTAGTGCTGGCAAATGTGGTGTATCACTCTCATACACATTACCAAACAATGCTTTTTCACAAATCCACTTCTCACGTTCTCAGTGTTCCTTGCATTAAAGACTCAGACTTCTCAACCTTTACTTTTAAACTGCACGGTCCTACGTGTGCTTGCTTAGAAGTAAGTCCCACTGAGTTCTGTGAGGTTTACTTCCCAGTAAGTGTGTGGATTGCAGTCTAAAGCTCGTGTCATCCTACGTATGTACGTAAGGAAAGTCAGACATGCTGGATGTGAAAAAGAGAAAACAAATTTCAGATCTTTTTAGCAGTTCAGGACCAACATTCTTAGTTGTGTTTGCCACATCTGTGAAAGCAAAAAATAAAATAAAATGCAGTTTCTATGGGCTTCTTCATAGAGATGCTAAAAAACTGTTCTTTGTTTTCCTCTGTAAGTAACAAACTTTAACTTGGAACATTACTGTAAGAAGAGCTTTGTGTGTGAATTTTCAACATGACACATCTTTTTGAAAGATGGTTGATTTCTAAGTTCATAGCAAATATTTGGTTCAGATCTGCTCCCACGTATTAATAGCTTCAGTGCTGTCATCTTAAACTGTAGTCCAGCTGCTGTGTGTAGCAGAAGTTGCTTTGGAGAGAAAGTTCACTGCAAAATAAAAATTAACCTCACAAGTCTCGTTTTGTCCCCCTCACACTACCATACACTTGGCAGAAAGCAAAGAAACTGTATTTTTGAAATACACCATCTGATCCAAATATAACAAGCTTTGGAAAACTGTACCCAATAATTTAAAGAAGTGAGTGCTCTCAGACAAATTTTGGAAGCTCATATCCTTGTAATAGCCGTAGTAGTGAAAAATTCTTAAGTCCCAGCGTTTTCTAAGCAGCTGCTATAGAACCATTGGTTCAAAAAATTCTGATCAGGCTCTAACCTAACTCAAACTGGAGGAAAAAGAGGGATATGGAGAAAGTAGCCTACTGTACAAAAGTAGTTTGTACAATAATTGATGTTATTTGTTCCATCCAGTTTTTCCTCTCACCTGGCCCACCAATGCCATGTGGCCCTCAGAAGATGGCTCAAAGGATATGTGGCCCTTGGGCTCCAAAGGGTTTCCTATCTCTTTTCAGGGCTTGAGATTCCTCCAAGTTCCTTCTAATAGCATTATCAAAATGGAGTTTTTTTTGTCTAGATAAAGCAGATGGTTCCCCCCTCTCCATTGCTACTGTGGATAAAGAGTGGGGATTTTTTGCAGGGAACAATTCATACTGCTCAGGGTGAGAGCCTGGGTGGATTGGAAAGCAGGGAGAGAAAGGTGTTAAGTTGCTCAAAAGCCACAGGGGGAGTTAAGTTGGCACAGAATAGGACCTTCTTTGAAAGAGAGACAGATGAGGAGAGAATGGTTGCCGTAAGTGAAAAACAGGATGGGAACTGTTGCTAAAGCCAGTGGTTGTTTATTCTGTTTAAATTCAGTACCTTGTGTTTGTTTTCACCTAGTTATTCGGCTATATTGGAAATTTCATGTTGTTATTGTAGTTTTGCTTGTTTACCTTATGACAGAATTGTTAAATTATTGTTTATTGGACCTGTTTATGTGATTTTGTGGGTTTTTCATATTGTTTTTCTATGCCTCGTTCTTTATTTTTTTTTATTACTTTGTTCCTTGCTCTGGGATTCCATAAAGAACGGGCTATAAATAATTTATATGCAAATAAAACAAACAAACAAACATTCCTTTAGGAAAGCAACAAAATACTGAGATGGGTGAAAAAGTGATTTAATTCACAGATAATTTGGAGGTAATAATCCATGTGTGAGCCCAGACCAGACCTGGGTTCCTTTGGGACAAAGAGTGCGGCCATGAAGTTAACTTGTTAAATGAATGTTGCCCTTCTGCCTATTTTTCATTGTCCGTCTTTCATTATCCTGGCAGAAAAGGTGATGCTCATACTCAAGTGAGCCTTTCTTTCTATATGGTTTCCAGAGAGGGGTTCTAATAATTCTTTGTGCAAAGGCCACTTTTGCGCTTTCATTGTTCCATTGTGGTGGGGCTCTGCAATTGTTCATTCTGCTTTGAGAGTTAAAACAAAAAGAACTCTCATTGGATGAGGGCAGAAAACACAATCTCTCCCACAGACAATGTTCCCAGTGATTCACATCTGCTTAGAAGTAAATCCCATTTGAGTTCAAGGGGGCATGCTCCCAGGTAAGTGGGTATAGAATTTCAGCCTCAGTTGTTTTGGCTTGGCCTTGAGGTCCATGGACTCTTGTCAGAAAAAGAAATTTTGAAGCACACTTGAGGAAACATGAACAACATTAAAAAGCAAATGTGCAGCAAGTACTGAGGGAGACAAGCCACATTCGGATGATCATGTCTCATATTGATTATCCAAAATACAAATGTTCTGTTTCACCCACGCATGCACCCCTTCACCCCTTCCTTTGCAGAAGCCAGGAAGCCTCTAATTAATCACGTTTCCCTCTTTTGTCCAAGCTGGGAAAGTCTGGTTGCCAGCTTGGGATCAGTCAGGTTATTAAACTGTGGTTTGAAATAACTTTGTAGCCAGGATGGGGCAAATGGTACATACCCACCCACCAGGATGTACGTGTGTGTGTGTGTGTGTGTGTGTGTGTGAGAGAGAGAGAGAGAGAGAGAGAGAGAGTTTGTCTTTTTAATTTGTGACATGGTAGATGTCCATGTTTAAATGGTGGCCTCCATTTAAAGAATGACAATTTGTTTTAATAATCAGCAATTGCAAAATAGGACCCTCTGAAAAATTCAGTAAATAAGACAGGGCAAGTGCACAACAAAAGGCTTATCAGGAAGTGCCCCACACCCAAAAGTCTGTTTACGCAAGACTTTTCCTGATTGAAGATGGATTTTTCATTACAGTGGTACCACTGGTTGCGAACGGGATGTGTTCTGGAGGCCTGTTCACAACATGAAAAGAGTGCAACCCTCAGCGGCGCATCTGTGCACGCGCAGGTTGCAATTTGCCACTTCTGCACATGCACGTGATGTCATTTTGCGCTTCTGCGCATGCGTGAGTGGCGAAACCTGTAAGTAACCCTTTCCGGTACTTCCGGGTCACCA